ATATATATATATATATATAAATATATATATATATATATATATATACATATATAAAACCATTCTAATCAATCTTTTATCTCGCCTTGGTCAATTGTTATATTATCATTAATATTGCAATTATTATCTTTCAAAAACGTATTTCATCCTTACCTAAATTATATTCATTTTCTTGCTCAATCTAAGTCAATTAATTGTAATCAATTATTACTATTCTCACATGTTTCCGTTTCTTACTCTTCTGTCTAACCATTTGTAAAATAAATCCCAAATCTTATAATAATCTTTTTCTTCCTGTTCTCTATGCCATTGTCATTTCGGCACGTTCCATTATTTTCTTAATGGTTTCCTCCTCTATCTGAGTTTTCTCGTTTTTCCAATTTTATGCAAATAATTTATTTTTCCTTTCAACGTGGCCAAATTCTGAATTTCCTGGAATTCCAACCGAGGATTAAAAAAAAAAAATCCTCGTTACGAGAGTGAAAAGACAATTGTGCAAACATTTTTTGGTAGTAAACAAGATGTCAGGGCTACAACAAATCCATCTCCATTCAAATCATGTCTCTGGCTTCATCTCTCAGTGTAAAAAATATTGATTTATTAGGAGCGGCCATGTTGCCGTTACCTGGGTGCAGCTGACGTTCATCTCACCCTTGACCCTGGTCTTCCCCCACCCCCTGGATGTATATTCTCCAATGAGACACATCCATAGCTCAGAGTCATCAATCAGGCTCTCCAGTAATAATCTTGCGCGCCAACAGCTTCGGCTGCCTAGCGATTATCTGAAACATTTAAGGAATGCACTGTTTTCCCCCACTTCCTTTCTACTGACAACTAAAACGACCAAAAGAGTATTTTTTTTTTAGTTGACACAAGAAAGCATCAACCACACAAGTAGTCCTTGACTCACAATCCACAACTGAGCCCAACGCGTCCACAGCTACACACCGCACTTGTGAAGGGAGTTGTTTTCTCCCCCTCTGTGACCTGTTTTGCCACAGTGGCTCCCTGCAATCGTTAAGTGAAATCACATGGTCCTTAAACAAATCTGGCTATTAATGGCTTGTCGGAAGTCGGCTACAGAAGGCTACAAATAGCGACCACGTGACCGCAGGACCCTGCAATCGTTGTAAAAGTGAGACAGACCAAATTTTGATCGAGTGACCAAAGCTGCAACGGTCGTAAGTGTGAAAAACTGGCCATCGGTTCCCTTTTTAATGCTGTTGTCACTTTAAACAGTGACTAAATGAAACGTTATAAGTCGAGGACTATCCGAAACAGGCAGCCTGACCAGAGTGTAATAATTCTTGCTGGAGTCCCAAATATTTTAGAAAGAACATTTCTGACCTGCCGTCAATTCGACTTGCAATCTATCCATTTATTAATCAAAGATTGCCGTTTCACCAAAAAACAACAACCCCACAGACATCAAATAAATTATGAAAGTTCAATCCCAACCACGAAGAAAATAAAAATAAAAAGGAAAAACATCTCCCGCATTAGAAACCCAGCTGCACAAACAACGCTGAACATCTAACTTCCTGTCTGCAATCGGCAATTTGTCTGCCAGGACGTCTGCAGAGGAACCTCTGGATATTTGGCCTGAACCCCAGGTGTGGATTATGGTTTTCGGAAGCCTCTGGCCAAAACGGGAAGCAAAATTCATTCATTCGTTCATTTGTATCCCACTTTTATTATTTTTACCTATTTACCTATCTATCTATCTATCTATCTTATCTATCCATCCTCTATCCATTATCTATCTATCTATCTATCTATCTATCTATCCAACCTCTATCGATTATCTATCTATCATCTCTCTCTCTCTCTCTCTCTCTCTCTCTCTCTATCCAACCTCTATCCATTATCTATCTATCTATCTATCTATCTATCTATCTATCTATCTATCTATCTATCTATCATGTCTCTCTGTGTGTCTGTCTGTCTACCTATCTACTTACCACTAACCAACCTATTATCTGCCTGCCTACTTACCTGCCTGCCTACCTGCCTACCTACCTACTTACTTATCTACCTACTACCTACCTACCTATCCTGTCTGTATGTCTGTGTGTCTGTCTGTCTACCTATCTACCTACCAACCAATCTATTGTCTGTCTGCCTGCCTGCCTATCTACCCACCCATCCATCCACCTATCTATCATCTGTTGGTCTATCTATCATCTTTATCTACCTACCTACCTATAGTACCTACCTATTATGTCTCTGCCTCCCTGCCTGCATGCATGCCTACCTACCTATCTATCTACCTATCTATCTAGCATCTGTCTGTGTGTCTGTCTATTTACCTATCTACCTAGTGCCCAGAGCAGCAACCATGCCCAAACGTTCCCTCACCACTGTCCAGACAAGTTTGTCCAACGTCCAGCCACTGGTGGCCCTTCAGTGCTTCAGGAACGTCCTTCCTTCTCTGGGAAGACGGGGGGGCAGCAATTCTCCCTCCCTCCCCACCCACCCCCCGCCCCCTGGGAGAGCACCCACCTGGGAAAGTCCTCATCCTGCCACTCTTCCTTGACCTCCACGTTGTCCATGCGCATCGTGGCTTCCGTGGTGCCCATGGTGCCTTGGCTGGGAAGTCCCCTCACCTGTGAAAGGAGGCGCCAGACCTTGAGAGAACAATGCATACCCCCCCCCACCAAAAAACCTCCTCCATCACCCCCAAAAAGCTCAGCTTTCTTCCTGGATTGTTGGGAGCCTTTCGCAGGTACCAGTGTGGTCTAAGTCCTCCCTGCAGGAGGGATGAGATGGCCTAGAACAGGGGTGTCCAACCTTGGCAACTTTAAGACTTGTGGACTTCAACTCCCAGAATTCTGGCTGAGGAATTCTGGGAGTTGAAGTCCACAAGTCTTAAAGTTGCCAAGGTTGGACACCCCTGGCCTAGAAGGTGGAGCTTTCGCCTCACAATCAGCAAAGCTGGCTGAGGAATTCTGGGAGTTGAAGTCCACAAGTCTTAAAGTTGCCAAGGTTGGACACCCCTGGCCTAGAAGGTGGAGCTTTCGCCTCACAATCAGGAGGCTGTGAGTTGGATACCTGGGCATCTCTGGGCACGATGGGAATATGATCTGCCCGACAAAACTCCACCCTGGCGACAGGAAAAGCATCCGGCCAGTCAAACGCTCCGCTAGCTTCCTTCAGTTGCCCAGACTCCACCCCGTCGTTAAATGAAGATGATGATCTCAGCCCGGCCTGCGTCCTCATGCAGGGGCTTGGATGCAATGTACTTTGGGGGCAGAATTGGTCCCTCGAGGCAGCAGGGGGACCCAGGTTCTGGTTCCAGCCTACACACACACACACACACACACACACCGCCACCATCAGGCTGGTGCTGGAGCCAAGAATGCCACGCAGGAAGCGCCTCTCCAGCAGAGGTTTCTACCTAGCAGATCCTCCAGGAAACGGGACCAGAAGGGATCCAGGAATGAATAAGCAGATTTCTGCAAAGCAGATAATGGACCGTTCCAGAGTTTGGACCGCTTGGGTGGCTGTCCAGGTTCTTCCTTGCCTTTTGCCCTTTTTAATGCAGGGACCTCGCTTTCTTCTCCTGCCTCTTGCGGGTGGGACTCAAAGCGTTCGATGGGGTGGAACGCAGCAGCCTCGTTGGAAGGGGCCTTGGAGGTCTTGTAGTCCAACCCTTCCCTCAAAGTGTTGTGGTGGTGGTGCTTATTGTTGTTTTCAGGTCTCTTCCCCCCCCACTTTCTCTTCTACCCAACCATGGACATCTTAAAATAAGCACCTCTTTACCCAGCTTTTGGGGGGGTGGGGAGCGTTTACAGGCCCAGGGAGAGGGGAGGGGAGAAAAGGGGGGAGAGAGAGTAAAGGGGGTTGTGGGGCTGAGTCACAGCAGCGCAGCTCCCTCGAGGGAAAACGCCCAGTGGGCAGGAGCTCCAGGGCCCAGGCTAAGTCAGCCGGCATGGCTGCCTTACGCGGCTTTGGCATTTGGGCTGAATGGCCAAGAGGGGGGGGGGCTGCCGTGGGCTACGGAGGGGCTGTGGAAGAAGCAGGGCTGAGCAGAGGGAGGGAAGGAGGAGAGAGGAAGGAAGGAAGGAAGGGAGGGAGGGAGGGAGGGAGGAAGGAAGGAAGGAAGGAAGGAAGG